CACGGCCACACAGCCCGGAAGACCCACACCAGCCATCGTATGCCGGCCGTGAAAGCCTTCGACAATAAATTGGACTCTGTGGAGTTGTGCAGAACTAATTAATTAGTTGTGGAGAAGTAACTAACTTGTGGAGAACTAATCATATAACAGTGAAGGCAGCCCCTTTTCCTCCTGAAGTTAATAGTTAATATTTCTTTATCAGATTTTTATACTGTATAAATATCAGATTCTTGGTGGTGGTGCATAGAAGCAAAAAACATCCAGTGTAAAATATAATATATAAATCACTATGATTACCCCAAATGGTTCAATCTGAATTTAAAAGCAGAACAATATACAAATTAATACAATTTAATGGCCAATTTGTTGCCATCTTATTTATATTAAATTTGAAAACACGTTCAGAAACGCTTCCCCTTGATTTGTTTCAGAAAGTCAACAAGGATGGGACTCTTCTAGTTTCAAAGGGGGGACTGTTCTAAAACACTTGGACCATAAACACAAAAACACGACTTTCTGGCCTTAGCTCCCTGATCTCAAGCAGCTTATCAGGCAATCAAAGGGTCTGCCAACAGATCACCAGGCATTTCCACAAGTGCACACTGGACCCATAAAGCGCCATGGGCAAGCCATTATAAAAAGCCCACTCTCCCTGCAGAGGTCTCAACAGGCAGCCCATGTCATCTGGTCCAGAAGGTTAACTGACCACTGCGAAGGGCTACAACTTCTGTGAGGCAAACGTAAGGTCTAATGTATGACCACCTGTATTCTGAGGCATCCATAAGGGGTTCCAAAATTCAAGATGGTGGACGCAATGGCCCAATTGCAGCTCCACCCATTTTTAATAGGCACTGTCAACCCCTTCTTTCTGTGTCGGGTCTGTGATGACCTGAGACAGGCCCACAGTTGCCATGGAGACTACGATCTCCTGAGTCATCCCAGACCTTAGCTCAGGTTACAGTCACCCACTTACAGCAGGATGATGGCTATTTTAGAAGGATGGCAAGGCAGGCAGATGCCACACTTGTCAAGGAGTCCCTGCACCTAGGGAATCCCAACCTTTGGGTGGCCAGTGGGTACATCTGGAATTTTGAGAGCATGACATGTATGGACACTCTTACATGAACTCTTCCTGTTCACTGATCAACCAGCCCACTGGTTCGTCAGGACCAGCTTGCTAATAGGCACAAGGAAACTGATGGATCCCAATTCCATCAGCTGCCTGCCCAATCTGCTGTCCAAAGCAGCCAATGTATAGCCCACAAAGTATGGAGCTCTGCAAACTAATCTCCCTGTGCCCCAGTGGATTGCCATGCCTGGATCTCTTGAGAAATCCTCAAAGCATCTCACTGCAAGGAGGCTGATTCAGTTGCCTGCCCAGGTGACAACCTGCCCACCACCACCGCCAGTGCATCACCCTGAGAGCTTCTCAGAGTCTTCCAGAATTCCCCGAGGTGCTTTAGGAAGGAGAGCCAAGTGGCAGCTATGGGATGTGTGTAGGTCCTGCTGAAGGGTGAGGGCAATGCTGCTGCCACTAGGAAAAGGTGGTGCAGGAGAAAGGACATGCAGGGAAGGAAGAGACCATATCTCCTAATTTCACTGCAGTAGTAGGCCAGGCAGCTTCCACAGAAATTGGGCTCATGTTCTATAATGGTCACTGATTTTTGACTGATTACATGCCATCAAGTCATTGTCAACTCTTAATGACCACATAGATTTTCTCCATGATCATCTGTCCCTAACCTGGTCCTTCAGCTCTTCGAATGGTACACTCATTGCTACTATAACTGAGTCTATCCACCTTGCTGCTGGTCGTCAGAAAAAGTTGATTCCACCTAATAACCTGGATAGGAACCACATTGGTCATGGCTGCTCCATATCCAAGATGGAGGAACTGAGTAAAATTCTCATAGTAGTACGTTCTGTTTTGTGCAACAATTTGTTTTTTAAATAACCCATAATTGGCTAAATATTTGCTAATTTACAAACCCCATGACTAGGTTCACACATATGCTAAACCAAAACCAAACTATATTCCTCATGAGATAGGCAGTGACCAAATTTGAATATATATATTCAAATATATATATATAAAAATAGCTTAGTTTGCAATGTGAATCCAGCCCATATAGGAATTCAGTATTTTATCATACTTGTTTTTGGTTAGCAGCGTAAATACCCAAAAAGGAAGTACTGAGGTCATCATATAGGAGAAATCATTGCTGCTGTTTCTGCTTGAGCAAATTTTTTTAATTCCTGCAAACATCGACCATTGATACTACCTTCATATTACAGTGGGGTATCCTGTTCTCACGAATGCATCCGATTCCCACTTAAACGGTGGAGTAACTCACAATCCAAAATAGCAAGGACAAGCTAAGGGGAATCAACTCTTCAGTGGAAATGCAAATGAAGGTCTTTTTGATTTAGAACAGATGCTGGTTGAGGGAAATGTGAGGAATGTTGCAAATTGGTCAGGAATGCAACGGTGGAGTTGGGGTTTTCAGCTCCTCTCCTAGGCTGTTGATACTTTAGTGGCCATGGTTTCTCGGGACAGGGGAATTCCTAGGACAGCAGGTCCATACAGGGGACTGTGGGGGCTCCTCAGATGAAGTGGCTTCCAGACTTGACTGATCACCAAAACATTTTATGGTTTAAACAGCTACGAGGTAGATTGGTAGAGCCATTAAAATGAATAAAATGAATAAATACAAATTAAATTTAAATTAAATTAAAATGATCAGTGCTAGGGATGGCCCAGAAGGGTCATTTAAAAGGATTTGAGTGACATGTGCTGGAGAACAGGTGAAGAATAGGATGCTCTGCAGAGCAATCATTTATTTAAAATTCCCAACGTCTCTTCCACTCTATTGTTCCTCAAGTAAGGGGGCAGGGGGGGGGCTACTGCTGGATTACCATGTATCTGTAAAAAACTGTAAAAAATTTTAGAGGGGTACCTAGTACATAGAAGTTGCATCTCTGTGAACAGAAGCCCACCAGGTGTAGCCCTGGACAAATTATTATTTCCTGGCTTAATTTACCAAAGCATGTTGTTACAATAATCCAAAAAGGCAGATATGGTGGGAACTTGAGATTCTTGGAATAAGGCAGGATGAAAATGTAATTAATTAATTAACAAGTGAACGGTCATCCGAGTCTGAAGAGAAACATTGGGCAACAGGAAGAAAAGGTTTTAAAAGAACACATCTGAATACAATAAGAAGACTTCTCAAACTATTCTTATACACGTGGTAAATACAGTTCTCTTTATTTATCTAAAGCATTTCTTAGCTACATTGTTCAAGTTCAAAACAGCTTCAGTATGATAAAATCAGAATTCCAAAATAGGTAGGAAAGTGGGATGGCTACAGATTCTTAAAGAATGCTACTAAATGAAAGTGTCCTTCCTTTTTGTTACAAAAAATTCATCTGACTGACCGGAATCACAAATCCACTTCAACAACTCATCTACTCAGTGGAATTTCAACAAACCTGCCTCGTTTGAGGCTTGTTGAAGGAATACACTGGTCTGAGTATACGATGCAGTGGGGTTTCCATTTAGGAACAGTTATTCTCATCTTCCACATATACAGACATGGGAAGGAGAAAAGGGAAAACTCAAACTTGGATTAAATGCAAAGGCCCGCACTTTTTGACTGATCTTGATGGCCAAGTCAAGATATTTCCCCTTCTGTTGACTTAACCGCTTGATAAGCCTTCTCAAGGTTGGGAACCTATTTCTGCATGGATTTAAACTCTCCGAATTCCCTAGCCAACATGACCCTGAGAATTCTGGGAAATGTCATCTGCATGTATGGAGGGCAACTGGATTAGGGAAAGCTATATTTGATGAAAGCATTTGAGAGTGTCTCTGCTGACCAATGGCCCATATAATTACATACACACATATATGCTTTCGTAGTTCCACAAGTGTACCCCTATCACACAAGATCAATAGTAAAGATTCTTTATGTCAGCAGCTGCTTTCAAAAACATGACAGGAGGGATGGACAATGCAAGCTACACTAAGTCCCCAAGATGTTTGAGAGAACCAGAAGCCTTGTTGAGGTTGATGATGAACCATGATGGACATACCCACCACTGTGTTAAATTCTAAACTGATGGCAATGTGGAAAGGGAAGTCATGGTGCCCTGTTGGTACAGATGGCATGACCCAGACAATCCAAACAACCCTCAGCCATTATTCTACCCATGAAGCTGAGGAGAGGGAATTGCTATACAATTCCTTACAAAAAAGATCCATTCCTATCAAATTTGGCAGTTTTAAAGCTGAAAGGAAGATCAGTCAAGAGATAATGACACTCTCATCACAGTGAGAAGCTCTTCCTATTTCTTTGCTGAGAGGAAATGTCACCTTTGATCAGTAATGTTATTGCTTTTTAAAGAAATGAAGATGAACTCTGCATCAGTTAGCTATTAATCTGTCTAAAAGTCTATGAGGCCTTGGAAGAACTGTCAAAGACTCTTCATACATGCTGGGACTGCAACTTCTAGAAGATCCCATCCAGGATCATACTGACTTGGAAAACCTGGAAGCTACCTGGAGGGACCTAGACTGGAGGAAGACCATCTTAAATCACTATTTGTTTATTGTTCTTATTGATTTGGATTCCGGTCTTGGTAAATAATACCGACAAGGCTGAGAAGCAGAGATAATAGCCTTAGAGAGAGATGGAAAGGTGAGCTTTTCCAAACACATAAAATAAGGGAAGGATCGTCTCTCCATCGAAGGGGGGTGTAGAAAATGCAAAGAGAGGAGCTCCAGTATCAGCATCAAAAAAAGTCACCCATCCCCCTTCATAGTTCAGAATCACTCTGATCTTCTTGGGCATCCTACGCAAGGTCAAGGGAGAATAAAATGGGGGGTTGTAAGCTGTGTAGTTGCCATCCCACTTCCCTACAGCCCAGAACCCTTCTTCAGGACTAAATTCAATATCTCCTTTTCTCCTCACAGACTTTCGGGCAACTCCGACACCCCAGGTATCCTCTGTCCCCACGGTGACTTCCCAGAAATGTCTGCCTGTAGTGAATCCTGCACAGGCCAGCACAAAAGGCCATTCATCAAATCTTTCTGTGGTTTTGGATAGATTTTGATAAAATTCACCCATTTTCAGACTTTTACAGTCATCAGACAGAATGAGACGGGGATGAGCTGTATCTGGATCCAGAAATACATGTGCTGTTGAGGGGGAAGAATGAGAAAAGAAAAGATAAGCAGTGTTAGTTGTTAAAATGGCAGTATGATATTGGTGCAATTCAAGGTATTGGTTGTCCCCTTGTAAGGCCCTACCTGGCTCAGGAGCTGGATATTGAGATCTTGGGGAATATATTGAGATCTCGGGGAAGATTTGGGAGAAGAGCTTGCAGAGGATTCTTTCACTGAGGGAATACCTTTCAGGGACAATTGTCAAGCCTTCTTGGCAATACTCCCCCCTCCTTTGAACAGCTTGCTCCCAGATATCTGGACCACCCCCTCTCTACTGCACTTCTGAACAGCCACAAAGACATGGCTCTTCAAGGGAATGTTTGGGACAGACTGAGGATTCCATTTGGAGATGCAACAGGATTTCCTTTGGAATATCTTGCCCCCAGAGGTGAGATTGGCCCCCTCACTCCTGGCCTTCTGGAGGGATTTGAAAACCTGGCTCTGCCGCTTGGCCTGGGGTGGGGAGGGAAGACATCAAGTGTGGGGATGGCTACCTGGTGTTTGCTGCTCTGAACCATCGGCCTCCTGGACTCTTTCCTTCATTTTTATTAATTGTGTGTATAGGTTTTTAATTGTATGTATAGGTTTTAATTTTAATAAATAACAATAATTATTTGTTTTTAACGAGTTGTGAGCCACCCAGAGTCCCCCACTGGGGGAGATGGGCAGGAATTGAATGAATGAATGAATGAATGAATGAATGAATGAATGAATGAATGAATATTATTGCCTATCTTGTTTGTTTTGATTATGCGAGCTGCTCAGAGCTTTTGGGAATTGAGTAGCATAGAAACTGAACTGCTGCTGCTGGTGGTGGTGGTGAAGGAGGAGGAGGAGAAACTAGTAGTGATTGTGGTTATTTTCATTCTGTCACAGTGGCAATATAATAATCATAACCACTTCTATCATCATCCATCATAAGGGCCTAAAAAATGTGATACTAGTCATCAGGTTGTCCAGAAGTGGGGATTCAGAAGTGGGGTTTGTCTTGCAGTATTTGTAGTCTGTGTAAGATTTTAATTCAACAGGGTTGGTTGAGTTTAATCTAACATACACTGCAAATACTGCAGGCAACCCCTCCTGAACCATTGCACTAAGGAAGGCTCACTGGGACAGCGGGGGGGCGGGGGGACATCTGCAAAAAACCATGATCAGTACCTTAGTATTGATCTCCTGAAGCTCAGAGAGCCTGACTACTAACTCAACTACTCCCTGGGCTACCAGGTGTCCAAGAGATCTATCATGGTTGGAAAGGCCCACCCTATTCAGTGCAGGAGTTTCTATTAAAGCGTCCCCAACAGAGGACTGTCCATCCCGCAGAACTCATCCCTTCCTCTGATCATTGAAACAGTTATTTTTGTTAGAAAACCTTCCTAACAGAAAGAGCAATTTGATAGAGGAATCAATTCAAGCAGAGCCTGCCTTCCTGTAACTTAAATCTATTATTCTGAGTCCTACACTCTGAGTCCTACAGAACAGACCTTAACATTCTGCACATCACCCTTCAGGTACCCTCTCCCAACCACCTGTCCTTTATTCACAGTGGCCAAAAAGACAACCTTGAGAAGTATTCACAAGCAGAAATTGTGCACAAAAGCACCTTCCTACTCATGCTTTCTATGAACTACTATCAAAGTGGATCTCCTACTAGAGGTTCCTACTGGAGGCAACATGCAGTCATCAGAGTCAAAAACATCACTAGAATTATACTGCATGGATCTGTTTATTCTTGTAACGTTATGAAGTTCCAGGGTACCGCCTTTTATCTGGTGCACTCCATATATACTGCACAAAACTTATCCTCAGCCCATCTGCCTTTTGTTGGAGTTGCCATTCAACTATTAATGCTAAGACACTGGTGGTTTGAGAACCTCTAGAAGTGGAACTCCAAGGAAATCAACCAACCAATTTTCAGATAAATCACTATTCCTTCTAAGCTCTCATGCCATCCTCCTGCCAACAGAATTTACCTTTTTGCAGCTGAATTCCAGCTATCAGAGACTCTGAGAAAGAAAAAGGAAGAGAACTTTAAGCCCTATCACAAAACCAGGAAGAACAAAAGCAGTTTATATGATAACAATATTGCGTGCTAGGGAAACGTTAAGTAGAAACCGATAAGAATTTAGCAAGTGAGACAGTGCAGTTTTCTCTGTTGAATTTAGCTGTCAGACTCCAATAACCCATAATAGCCAATGCAAAATATTCACTTGTTCCTTCAGGAGAAGGAAGGCAGGAAGGCAGGCGGGAGGGAGGGAGGAGAGCTCTACCAATGAAAGCAGTATCTAAGAAGACCTTTAGGTTTATATCTCAACTTACCTAGAGAGGTTTGGAGGTTTTAGGCAGGGATTAAACTGCAAGACAGCTTCCTTTTTATAGCCCAGGTTTCATCAGTGTACATCATAGAATGCAGAAGGGATGAGCATAGAACATATATCCAAGGTAATACAACAGTGTAAGGTGAGAGAGGACATCTTTCGTATCTACAATGTGTACTTTATGTGTAGACTACAAGGAGAATATATGCATGAGTGAAGTTGGAATGAATATATTTGAAAGGGATTTAATATCTGAGCCCAAAACTAGCTTCAAGAAACAAGGTTATAAAACTGTGGAGTCCTTGGTGCTCTCTGAGCTTGGTTGTTTTGTTTGCAGACGTTTCATTACCTAACTAATTAACATCATCACTGTGAGTCAATGTGGGGTTTGCTCCCTGTTTATATACAGTAGCTCACTCTGTCGGTGTTGGTGAGGGTGTGGTTTTCTCCTTGGTAGTTCCTTAATTAGGGTATTGTTTTCTGCCTAATTGTTTGTCTGGGGTTAATCCCTGCTTATCTGGGTGTTGGCTCCTGGAGAGGATGTATTCTAGTCTTTCTCTTTGCTTTTTAGCTTTTTTATTGTCTCTTTTGATGATGTTACCTAGTTGGGTGATGAAACATCTGCAAACAAACAACCAAGCTCAGAAAGCACCAAGAACTCCACAGTTCAACCCTGAGCTACAGATATTCTATTGGAAGGTTATAAAAAGCAGGGCTGCTACAAAGAAACAGATTCAAATATGTTGGTGCAGACACAAATTTTGATGTGGAAAAAAATGACACCTCTAAGGAGCTAGCAATGGAAGGGCTGCAGGAAGCAGATGCCCATTGCAACTGCAGTTAAATAGCCTAAGTCCAGATCCTGAAGAAGGAAAAGAGGGAGCTGATTTTTCTGATGCTCACTAGAAATGGAGACGATTTCCCATATTTCAGCTGACTCTCGGCATTCTTCCTTCCCAGAGGATTAAAATTTTTAAAACCTTAAGAGATATTTCTACCACCTAATTTTAGATCTTTAGCTTGCTCTGCTCCACTAGATGATGCAAATCATTGTCACGTGTCTTATATTTAAATTTTATCACATGAATTAGAATTAAACTGGGTGATTATAGATGTCTAATTCACAGCCATTGTGATGTGGAGATTGAAGCTGAATAAGGGCTGGTTCAAGTCCATCCTCAAACACGGAAACTCAATAAATGATTTTGGAACAGTCAGCTCTCTCTCAGCTCAGTAAAGTGTTGTGAGAAAAAGGGGAGGGAGTGTTATATATGGTGCCCTGAACTTTCAAAAGCAGATTATAAATCTAAACAACCACCACCAACAAAACAAATAAAATCCATTTTTCAAACACAGCTTTCTAAAATCAAGCAGTTATTGAAACGGTATCAGTTTGAACCAGCCTAGAATAGCATTAACTACAGCTGAAACAAAACTGAAGCAAAAAAAAAAAAAGAAAGAAAGTTTAAAACACTCCAGTTTTAACCAACAGAGCATGAAAGCACTTATACTAAAGTACAGCTTAAGTACCAGTATGTAAATGTCTGGGGCTAAAGGTGAAAAAATGAAGTACAATTAAAAATAATAAATAAATCTACATACGAACCCTCAGAACTAAAGTCAGAAGAGCAGTCTTGGCTGTAACTCTTAAGATAATAAGTGTTTCCTAACTTGTCTTCCATCTAACACTTTCCTGGTCCTGAGTACATTACAATAGATAGAGAAGAGGCCCATAGCCAGAAATGGGCAGAGGGTTGCACCAGAAGACCGTCAAAATCCCTTCAATCCTATGAGCCTATGAAATGTTGTAATACACAGGACATGATTGCAATCAATCAATCAATCAATCAATCAATCAATATTCTAGGGTACTTCCAGACAAAAGGACTCCTGGCACTATCAATCATAGTAACAGTTGGTAGTGCCTTAACAGATTTTTTTTTTTAATGGTTAGAAAAAATGGTGGAGAAATAGGAAAAGATTACAACTAGAAGAGGATATTGTCTGGTCCCTGTGTAAAACTCTATGTGTGAGATGATTATCAAATACTGGACTTGTCTGGAAACACAGACAATGCTTAGTGGGCCAGAGCAATGTGCAATAAATAAATAAATTCCTAAGGATTTATATGTAACAGGATTGGTACCTAACAGAGGGATCGGCAATATAGGAATACAGTGCTCGGAGGTCTAACAATAGCCTCAGTAATTAAAGAATAATTCCTTAAAATGAAAAGTTTGTAAATGCTAACATTTCACAAGATTTTGGCAACTTCATAAGATTCTAGGAAGTGCTGGGAAAAGGATGGGGTAGGACCATAAACAATTACCGATGACCAGGCTAATAAGTCTAATGGGTTTTCATGGTTTAACATAATCAATTACATATAATTTAATATAAGGGTAATGTTGATTGTCAGTTGTTCGGGACATGAGTGCACCAAAAGACAGATATCTCAAACAATTACACAGAATGTTTGTTTGTTTTTATCTCCACAAATGAACGAGTTCCAGACTTCTGGATATTTATTTTTCTTAACAAAGGCAGAACATTTGGAGGAAACAGCTGGAATGCCCTTCAGAGGATGAAGTCATAATTGTTTGCTGTATGATTGATAGCTGCAATAGGTGTCCAATTCTAACCATGGTAACACCGAAATGACAAAACGTGTCTTCTGACGACATGACACAAGCTCTACCCTTTCATATTTGCACTGTAACATCACATGGAAGTTCATAAAGGATGGAGATGATGACATGCTGTTGCAACCCACACTTTCATCACTTGCCCCCCACCCCCATTGGATATCTAGGTAGCCTACAACATTTGTTTGGGACAGGGGCATCTACTGGGGGAGTGACAAGTTAATAGCTGTGATCATGTGAGCAAAACTATGCTCTTTTTTTACCTGCATTGACCTCTTTGGCCCCCTTCCCCCACAGACACCCCTGTCTTGGACCCAATAATGTGAAACCGCAAACATAAGCCTCGATTCTTCATTACCATTGAATATCTTTCCAGCATTCTCCAGAAAAGGATTGATATCACAGAAATCCCAGGACCTCCATTTCAGATCAAGAGGAAAAGCAACTGGGTTTTCAAGTGCTTTGTCATACCTGGTGGACAGAAACAAAATAAAGATATGCGGAAGGATCCCAGTCTGCTGCTTGGAGCCTACAGGGGCAATGGGAACAGTTTGGAGAACTTTTGACCCAAAGGAATGGGGTGTTTAGGGGAGCAATGTTACTTTGCAGAGGGCAGCGCTGTTGATATTTTCGGCAAAGGTGCTGAGAGGTACTGAGAAAAACGATGGCATCACCAACTCACAACAAAGTGAGTTGAAATGCCTTAGAAGATGGGTGAGCTCCTTCAGATAGGCAGCTCTGATGGTAAAAGTAGGACTCTCCTATATGTCTCTCCTTGCTCACCATGTTAGTAAAATTTGTAACATACATGGGGGGCGGGGGCAGACAGGTTTTTTTCAGGCCAAGATACTTGGTCTGAGTGGCTTAGTGGAGGCCACACTCCAAAAAGTAAGCAGGACCAGATCAAAAGCATATAACATATAATTACAATTAAGTTCTCCCCAACCTAGAGCCAGTTTGGTGCAGTGAAGGCACCAAGCTAAAAACCAGGAGCCATGAGATCCAGTCCCGCCTTGGTCATAAAGGCAGCTGGATGACCTTGGGCCTGTCCCTCTCTCTCAGCCCTGGGAAGAAGAAGAAGGCAAGGGCAAACCACTGCCGAAATCTTGCCAAGAAAACTGCAGGGACTTGTCCTGGCAGTCACCAGGAGTCAAGACTGACTCGAAGGGACAATAAAAGAAAAAAAAAGAGCAGGGAGTTTAGTCCTCTATCAAAACTTAGTCTAGTTCTAAGCAAATGTTTTGCCGAGGTGTGTTCAAAGGGACCCCGATTATCATTATAGTTTTGGGCATGGGTTTAATGTTATCCTGGAGCAGATCTGTAGAAAAAACCCAAAGTCTTTCTCCAAGGTAAGTGAATACAAGACTGCAACTTAGGACGGGGAACAGGAAGAATATTTTCTTCTAAAAAGTCAATGTTTTTTAAGTGAAGAGTAAAAGGCCACTCTTATGAGGAGGAAGATAACAAATAGGTGGTAATCCTGTCAATGATCTGGAGCAGAACTGTTCCATGCCTTCTTTCAGGTTATGGCACTCTCCCTCTATTTATCTTTCTCACACACATATGCACACACACTTTTTTTAAAAAGTGCTCTTATTTTTATCTGAAAAATAGAGGGAGGGAGTGGAATTCTACCCTTCCCACACAAAAGGAGTCTGGAAAGCCATGTTCTCCATGTGCTTCAACTCCCACTGTTTCTTCTTATTGACCACGCCTGCTATTGATTGATAGGATTTGAAGTCCAGCGTATCAGGACGGTATGAAGTTGCCTACTCTCTGCTACATGATCTTATAAAGGATGGAGGAAAATGAGCAGGATCTACTTACTTCTGCATGCTGCTTTTAAAATCCTAGAGAAAAAAAAAAAAGAGAAAGAGATCTCACTGTTTGCAATAGACTAAACTACGAAGGTTGCTTAAGCCCAAAGCAATGATCTTCTCTAGATCTTTGGAGAAGCTCTAGGTCAGTGGGAGGCTCATAGAGCAGATGAATCTCCTTATTGCGTGCTCTTGTCCACACACAGGGTAAGATGCTCTTATTCACAAACTCTTCACTTTGATTCCCCCCTCTCCATCAGTAATTGGACATTGCAAGAGATAGGTTCAAATCTGCTCACCTAACGAATTATCTTGTTCAGTTGTCACTGACTCTGGGTACCTAACATTGCATTAAACTTGCCTAAAGCCTCTGAAGGAAATTACCTCAATTGAAAAGTTGAGGGGTTCAATTTATTTTATGAGCAGATCTGAACTTCCATCCGTTTTTGTCCATAGAGTTTTTAAGGAAAAAAAAAACAACAGAAAGGAATTTTTGTATGTCTAAGAGCAGCATGAGAGAGAAAGAAAGTTAGGAAGTGGTTCTGGAAAAAGAGAGAGAAATAAGTAGAGTAAGGAGTGGATCCTGTGCATGGAGAGTATCAAATGTGAATGAATTTCAGGAAATACTCTAAATGACAGAGAACTATGATTCATAGCTTGGGACTCTGGTTTCCACCATAGCCTTTTACTCAGGTTTGGGGGGAAATTACTAATCTCTTTCTATCTGTGAAATGAAATATTGGTTCAAAAGATTGGATTAATGTTTGAGACCTCAGATCACAAGTTTGCCCCGCAGCCAATAGTTTGGACAGATTGTTTCTTTTTTAGCCACAGACATTTGCACTTCTGTGAAATGGATTTCTGTAGGACCAGAAAACTCTAGGTTCAAAGGAACCATTTTAAATTCTGAGGCAAACCCCAATCTCAGCTTTGTACCCAAGTTAGTTGCATTACAGTTATTTGTCTTTTCACCTCCTTCATTTTCCATAAACGGATGTTTTGTGATTGGCCATGATCTCAGCAACATCTGTTTTGGGATGAGTCCCCCACTGGTGGTAGCCTTTGAGGGATGGGACCCATGACATTGTTTCAAAGTGTCTACAGTGTCCATCACTCCAAAAAGATGAGAGAAATTTAAGTTAGGTCTGGCTATTAGCACCGTGAATTGATCTTTTCACATCCAAGTAAGTTAAGGTGCCCCATCAAGGTTCTGAGCCAGGTCTCCTCTGGTGGGGAGCCCAAACTATTTTTAAAACCATCTTACCAGTAAGAATTCCACAGCTGGCTGCTCACACATCTCCTGCATCTCCCGAATGATATTTTTAAGCATGGAGCGTTCCTTTGACAGCCCTTCCATGTAATCCACCTTGGTTTTTAGGACCTCCTTCTCCACCATTTTCATTCTGTTCTGCAGTTGTTTTTCCTGTTTATGCAGAAACTCATGTAATTGTTTGAACACATCGTCTAACTTCTCTCTCTCCATTTCCATTTGTGCCTGTAATAAAGAAGAGCAAGGCCAGGTTCATCACCTTTTGGGATAAGCATGGGAATTTGCTTGTTTTCAAAAATTCAGAATTAGCAAGACTTACAAGCAGCTCGGCAATTTCCTTTTCTGCATCTGATGGATGACTCTCCATTATATCTTTCTTTTCCTCCAGAATTACAATCCGGCTCCGTAACTGATCCTGAAAGAGAAATAAATGAGTCATGTTTCAAACATGATCCCCGTTTTCACAAGTTTATTTACTTATCCATCAGTATAGGCATCTTTTCTTTTGACCAAAAAGTAGACTTCTACAAATCTGCCTACCTTAGTATTTTCAGCTTTCAGTTATTCAGCAACTCCTCGAGCTCACACAGGGCCTGCCCTCTTTCAGGGTCTAGCTGAAAACTGATGTTTCATAGAACCAAAAATGTAAGATTGGAAGAGGCCCTGGAGGTAGTCTAGCTCTGTGATTCTCAGAGCAGGAATCCACTACTATAATATCACTGCAGATGGTCATCCAGCCTCAGTTTAAACACTCCCAGTGGCAGACAGTCCATCATCTCCAGAGACTGTTCCATTGTTGAACAGACCTTAGTGTTAGGAAATCCTACTGGATGTCCAACTGAAATCTACAGTACTTCCTTGAAATTAAAAGCCCTTGTTTCATGTCTGGTCGTTTGGAACAGCTCTGAACAATTCTACCCTATCCTCTACAGTCATGACAGTCTTTTGGATACTTGAAGACCTTCCCACAGTCTCCTCTTCTCCTGGCTACTCACATCCAGTACTTCCAACCATTCTTCCTGGTTCCACACTGGTTCTGGAAAGTACCCTTTCTATATATGGACATATCTGAACACTTCCCTGATGTCATCTGGCCCCCTTGCACAGACAACACGCCTAATAGCATTCTATCATAGAACAATCGCTCCATGGCTGGCTGGGGAATTCTGGGAGGTGAAGCTTAAAGTTGCCAAGGTTGAGAAACATTGACTCAGAGAAAGGATGCACAGTCAGTGTAGCATCCAGGCAGCTCTCATGCAAAGATACATGAAAGCTGAAGCAGAATCTCTGGAACAAGGGTCCAAGCAAGATTTTCATCAGCTCCAGAGGAAAAGACGTCTATAGTTTATGTAATCCATATTAGAAGCAATATGCATCTTCCATTGAGAATCCAAAGGTCTGTTACTAATGATCTCCTACCTTTAATGGTTGGGCAGCTCGCTTAGGAGAAATTACAGTATGAGATTTATGTTCTGAGGCCTTCTGACAAATGGCACATATCAGCTTCTCATCGTCCTGACAAAACAGATCTAGCGTCGCCTTGTGTTTTGGACATACATAGGACTTTTCTGGAAATGGCCTGTGTTTTTCTCCCACGCCGGCCTGCTGCAGGTCTCGCCGGAGTTTTCCTTCCGGGATTGGCTCTTCGCAAATAGGACACACGAAGGGCGCATCATCTCTTTTCCATTCTCGATAATGTTCAGCGATGCAAGGCCGACAGAAATTGTGACCACATTCCACAGGCACTGGATCTTTCAAATATTTATTACATTGGTCACAGAATCCATCTCTTCTCTCATCCACGGTAGGTGAGGATGAGGCCATGATATGTGCAGTCTTCTCCGTCTCTGAATCAGCAGAAATGAGCTACAAAAGGGAGCCAGGAATATTCAGTACCTGTTGTACAACTGTTTTATAGTAACTGTTTTTTCCATCTGGAGATGGTCTTTTCTCCAGATGATGGAAATGATGGGCAATCTGGAGGTGGGATGGAGAGCAAAATCCTACCTTTTAAATAGGATTTCAATAAACGAAAAGGTGTTTTACTTCTTATTTTGAAAAAAAAAAAGCACACTACTGAATTTATGGGCATCATTACTCACTTGCTTAAATAAGCATGGAAATGTGGGGGCTAGCTAGTGTATTTACTAGATGTACTAGCTAGCACCTTATTTTTTAATTGCAAGCTGCCCAGAGTTGTTGGGAACGTATACATTGAATGTATGCACGTATAAATAAATAAATGTTCTAACCCTCAGGAGAAAGGACTGGAGGTGGCTTTCTTGAGTATCCTTTTTCATGCGCTGACATACAATGGATCCAAAACCCAAGAAATCAATTGCTTTAAAACAAACAAGTACATCCTTACCTATTACCTTGATGTATAATATCATTACAGGTCATGAATCTTTCTGTTTAGCGGCTCCTTACCTTACAATGTTATAAATAACTCTAATATGTTATTGCATCTTTTATTCTAATGCCTATAAAAAAGTTATAAGCACAGAATAAATATGTTTATAAGCACAGAATAAATAAATAGATAAATAAAATAAACTACTTTGACTACTACTACTGTTCCACTACGAAACAGACTTACGGCCTGGAAACATTAGAGGCCTAAATTTACAGAACTTTCACATCTAAATCTCTCTTTATATCCTATCTCTTCCTTGCAGGAGAGCCTTCGATCTAGGGAGGTTTAACATTTTATCTTCTAGGGCATTGGAGGGAAGGTACTAGTGCATAGCAATATCCCATTCTCAGAATTTTAAAGTCCATGTTCTGGCTAGTAAAGTCACTGAAAACACTTGTCCATATTTTGCTGTATCATCCTTTTTTTTACAGTAACTGGCACCCTGTTCCTAACTCAGTGTTGGGGCTGGGCTAAAGATAGGATTGCTTGTTTTTTAATAGCAGATCGATGCACCAAAATCTCCATGAAAGGAACTAAATTCTGTTCAGTTGCGATCACGATTTGAAAGCACTGGGTTTGAATTTTGCCTGGTGGTTTATTTTGACTTCTTCCTCTTTCACAAGTCTCTGTTTACCTGATGAAAATGTCTGACTTGCATTCTTGGGTCTGTGGCCATAAATAAAAGAAATATTAAACATTCCAGATGAAGACCATGATAAACCACCATAATGGTGCCAAGAAAACTACAGGGATGCATCCATGATGTCACGGGGATTCGAACTCAACGCAATGGAGAAGTTTATTTTTTGTACTTCTGCAATCCCATTCAGTGGTTTGTAAGTGGGTCTTGCTGAACTGTGAGGGAGTTTATTTCATTTTCTATTATTATTATTATTATGGTTGGTCGCACAGTCAGCCAGATGTTTAGACTGCATTTGGCATTTTTATCCACCTATCGAGTCCTTCCCATGGGATAGGCAGTCCTATTCCCCTGGGATAGGCAGTTGTTGTTGTTATTATTATTATTATGGTTGGTCGCACAG